ACTCCTGACCTCAGGTGATCCACCCACCTCGGCCTCCCAAAGTGCTAGGATTACAGGAGTGAGCCACCGCACCCAGCTGATAGTCTACATTTTTCAACACTAAGCTTTGGAACTCTGGTGTGTATTTTGCACTTACAGCTCAATTCATGGGAGCCACATTTCAAGGGCTCAATAGCCACATATGGCAAGTGGCTATCCAAGTAGATGGCACAGGTCTACACTCTTTACACTTCCTCGTCTGCTATGTACTCAACCAACTCTAGTCTGGCCTCTTGTCACTCCCCTACGGCTCCTTTATCAATGTTACTATGACTTCCATGTTACCAAATTCAATGGTCTTCTCTCTGGCCTCAGCTCTCTGTAGTCACCAGCACAGATGATCATTCCTGCCATCTTGAAATGTCCCTCTTGATTCTCTACCTCCTTCAGTGGCTGCTCCTTCTGACAGAATTTTTCTCAGCCACTTTTGCCAGTCAGAGACCTCTGACTGGTGATGCCCCTCCTTGGGCCTTGCTTGGCCTTGGGCCTGCCTCAGGATGTGCCCCACTCATTTGGTCACCAGACCACCCCTGGCTTGTCCTCGGCCTTATGAACAGGACTAACTCCAGCCCACCTATGTTTGCTCGAACCTGTGTTTGGTGGTTTTCAAGCTCTTGTCCCACATCCAAGAAGAATGAGGTTACACTGATAAGTGAAACATGAGAAGGATGGAGAATAATTTTATTGAGGGATAAAACAGCTCTCAGTGGAGAGGGGTTGAGAGGGTGGTCAACCGCTTGGAGTTGGGTGGTTTCTCCCCCAGTGTGGCTGAGTACAGTGTTGTACTAGACCGAGCTTAGAAAGTTAGCACCAAGACATAAGTATGCCAGATTGCAGGGTCATTTATTATGCTGGCGACCACAGAGGACTCACATCTCTCCAACCTGTGGCATCGAAAGGAGGGTGCCAAGACTTTTTATACCCGAAAAACCACCTTGGGAGTGGGGGTGAGGAGCGGGGATGGGGATGAAAAGGCTTCAGACATTCCAAGGGCCAGGGGATTCTGTAATTCACCTCCTGGGCGGAGACGATGGTGGGGGTCTCCAGACATTCCAAAGGCCAGGGGATTCTGTAATTCACCTCCTAGGCGGAGATGAGGGTGGGGGTCTCCAGGCATTCCAAGGACCAGGGGACTTTTGTCATTCTGTTTGTTACTTCAGTGGTTTACAGAAGTCAAGATAAGCATTTGTTTACACATTGTCTGGGTAGTGATAGAAGTCACAGATTTTAGTTACTTATTACAAGTCACAGGAGCCAGGATGGAATTAGCCTGGGCTGCTTATTTTAGTTAGTACCGGTAAGCAACTGCTAGCAATTCTGGCAGTTATTGATAAGAAAAGGCAAGCAGCTTTACATAGTTTGCAGAACAAACTAGCAGTTCTATTTACAGAAGCCAAGGCCAGCAGTTATTGTGAGGAGAATGGGGCAGCTGCTGCAACTTATTTAAAAAACAGTTTTGCATTTTATAAAAATGGCGTTGCTCAGGTTCTGGCTGTAGGCCAGCACAATATCACAACAGGGCTTTTAGATGTTCAGAATAGGTGAGTGCAGGCTGATTGGTTTGTGAGTATGCAAAAAAAAGTTAAAGGCACCAGTCAAAGGTAGGCATGATAGTATAAAACTAATTAGGGAAGGGTAGGTATATGTGAAATAAGTGACGGGTAGAGATCAATCAGGAAAGCTTGCCAAACAGGAAGACAGGTTCTCAATCTGCTCTGTGGATTTCACTTAAAGCTTGGCTTTCAGCCTTTAAACTGGCTTTGGCTTGGGGGTGGGGTTTTATCAGAGACCCGCCCCTATCTGCCTAGGCTTTCATCTGCCTCCTGCCTCTATAACTCTCAATCTTCTTTGGTCTCTCTTCCTATACTGGTTTTCCAAATGCTGAAGTTTTTCTAGACTTTGTCCTGAGCCCTGTTTTATATCAGTTGATTTTTTAATTTAATTCAATTAATTAGTTAATTAATTTATTTATTTTTGAGGCGGAGTCTTGGTCTGTCGCCCAGGCTGGAATGCAATGGCAAAATCTTGGCTCACTGCAACCTCTGCCTCCCAGGTTCAACTGATTCTCCTGCCTCAGCATCCTGAGTAGCTGGGACTATAGGCATCCGCCACCATGCCCAACTAATTTTTGTTTTTTAGTAGAGACAGGGTTTCATCATATGGTCAGGCTGGTCTCAAACTTCTGAGTTCATGATCCGCCTGCTTGGCCTCCCAAAGTGCTGGGATTACAGGTGTGAGCCACTATGCCTGGCTCTGTTTAAATACTTTTTTAAAGAAACAAATAAGTATAAATATCAGTCAGATCATGTCACTCCATTTTGGTTTCTCTTTGCACTTTTAAGTTTGTTCGCCTGGTGAGTAACAAAGATTCTCCACAAGAACACAGGCTCACTTTTCTTTTCTTTTCTTTTTTTTTTTTTGAGAGTCTCACTCTGTCACCCAGGCTGGAATGCAGTGGCATAATCTTGGCTTATTGCAACCTCCACCTCCTGGGTTCAAGTGATTCTCCTGCCTCAGCCTCCTGAGTAGCTGGGCATGTGCCACCATGCCTGGCTAATTTTTGTGTTTGTAGTAGAGACAGGGTTTCACCATGCTGGCCAGGCTGGTCTCAGACTCCTGACCTCAGGTGATCTGCCCATCTTGGCCTCCCAAAGTGCTGGAATTACAGGCATGAGCCACCACACCCAGCCAAGAAAGCAGGTTATCAATAGGAATGTTATTACTGGTGCAAGGGCACTGGTAGTG